CCCTCACCCTCACCTTCACTTACACCCTTACCTTATTTGAGTATCGGGCGGATACACCAAATCCACTCATATTCCTCAGCTTCCCAGGATACACTTCTTTTCGGGTATCGAGCTGGATACACCAAATCCACTCAGATTCCTCAAACTTCATGATGGTCGTATTCTTTCTGTAGTATAAAAGTGGTTACCCGCGGATAGAACGGGCTGGTATCGATACCGGTGTTCGTTTGTTGATCAGTATCAGGGTATCGTGACGTTTGGCTGCCGATACCCGGTGTAATGGTATTATGACATCTATGAGAACGTCGTTTGATCTTGTTTTAATAGGTAGATACCATACCACCATTATTGAAAATGTTACAAACATACTCTACAAAAACTTACGAGTTCGTCTCTGTGCCGCTGTATAAAACAAGGCATTTCCATCGCCATGTGTAATTTCAATGAATTACATTTACTTTTGCAATATAAATGGGTCAGTTTACAGCTTACACATGAATCATGACGAACGTTTCAACATTTACCCAATGAATTGATTATTTGTTTTTTTCACATATTTAATTTCTGTTGCAAAAGTTTTTGCACAAGCATTCGTGTGTCATTTATGAAATTGATGCTCTTTGCATCTCGATTGAATTTGACTGAAGAATTTCGAGCTGTTATTACTGCTATGACTTGTTGTCATGTTAATTGTGAAGCAACTGAGCCGTATATTCGATCAATTTCGATATACTTATCTCAACGAAATTTGACTCGGTAATCTTCTGTATTAATCTTGTTGTGAAGTGGTTCAATCATTAGTCACAATCAACCGTTCTGATATTGATAAAATATATAAAGAAGGTCTCAGTAGTGCAAGTCAAGTGAGTGTGCCACTTGATGTTTCTATTGGAAAATCATTTATGCGTCAACAGCAGATGAAAAACCATTTGACAATTCCGTACAGAATGACACGATGTCTTTGAATGAATGGTTTAAAACTGTATCAACTGATCCTGTGATTACCCAAAATACAGGGACGAAATTGTCTAAATTATTTAGGAAAGAAAGATTCCAAAATAATCAATAAATCGAAGTCAAAGCACGACTTATAGAAGCCGTATGGGCCAAATGCAATGGAAATCAGAATCTTGCAAAATATATCAATGATTGTATGAGTTCATGTCACGGACTGTGTGTTTGTCAATCTGGTTTTATTGGACATGAATGTTCAACAAGAATTTTGTAGTTTTTCTTGGAATTGCTGTCAAAACTCCGAAAAATTTATTTTACGGAACATAAGATCCGAAAGTAAAATGGTCCCAAAAGTTCGTATAGTGCTAACTCATTTCTTCGCTGGCAGTCTCACTGTCCCACCCTCATCCTAATAGAAAATTTTACTGAGTTGGCTACTCGCATAAGAACACTCAGAAATGAAAAAGAAAAAGTTCGTCGTTATCGAAATTGTTTTTCTAACTTGAGTGGCCTTGCCATTCACCTCCATCCATGGTAAAGAAGTGCGACGATGCGAGTGAGAGACTTGCACAGCACATGATTAAATGCGTTTTGACAAAAAAAAAACAACTTATGAAACAGTAGCAATGTCATTATTTACTTGCACTTTTAAGTTAGCAACAGACTCAGTATTAAAAGCAAAGTAGAAGTGTGTGTATTCGTCAATATTCACATTCACTCATTTCATCATGACTATTTTTTTGAAACTGATCGTGTTCGCTCATGTCCTGTTATGGATCCATATAGGTATGTACAAACATGAAGACAATTGATCCCGTCTCATTTGATCTAGTCTGTATTTGTAGTGGACTGCACATCGTACTATGTGATGAAATCTGGTAAAGATACTAATACGGGAACAAGTCCATCGACTGCTTGGCTCACGATACAAAAGGCAGCCAATTCAGCTACAGCCGGTTCAACTGTATACATTGGCCCTGGAGTTTATTATGAAACAGTTACAATTAATGTACCAG